TCTCTCTCTCTCTCTCTCTCTCTCTCTCTCTCTCTCTCTCTCTCTCTCTCCCTTTTTATTATTCCAGAACGCTGTGATGACTGGGGACTAGATACCATGAGGCAAATCCAGGTGTTTGAAGATGAGCCAGCTCGCATCAAGTGCCCGCTCTTTGAACACTTCCTGAAGTATAACTACAGCACAGCCCACTCAGCCGGCCTTACTCTGATCTGGTATTGGACTAGGCAGGACCGGGACCTTGAGGAGCCCATTAACTTCCGCCTCCCCGAGAACCGCATTAGTAAGGAGAAGGACGTGCTGTGGTTCCGGCCCACCCTGCTCAACGACACCGGCAACTACACCTGCATGTTAAGGTAGCCTGACTCTCCACACCCCGTGTTAAGGTAGCCTGACTCTCTACACCCACGTGTTAAGGTGGTAACTTTCTCTTTTCCCTTCAGTTCCTGAGCTTTTATCCAGAGGTGCATGTGCCAGGAAACTGGTGAGGGGGAGAAAGTGCTTAGATTTTTGTGAGTTAGTTCTCTGTGGCTTCGCTGAAGTGGGTTAAAGGAGGTATGCAGAGAAAATGATTGTGCCCTCTAAGAACATGCGCCATCGGCAGTTCCTTTTTCAGACCCTGAGAAATGCTGAAGTTGTCTAAAGATGAAATCTTGTTTATCTACCCTTTTTCCAAGACATTGGAATCTGCCTGCATTTATGCCTCGTCTAGAGGCGTCCATTTCATCTAATGAAAATTGTGGGGAGTAGAGCACTTTCCTAGCTATTATTTTTGGCATCTTTCAAAGTGCTTGGCACAGAATACAGACTCAGGGAGCCTTTAGAGAAGGAAGAATACTTGAGAGGCATCTCATGTATATAGGACAATGCCTTTTAAATGTTTCACCAACATTCCCCCAAGAAGCAAGAGAACGCCACATCCCTCAGAAAATACCAATATAATCCAAAGCAGCCTGTCGTTACTGCAAAATTTTTTGCAAATCCACTTGTTTCTCAAAAGTTCATGTAGATTTCATATTTTACTGCACAATATACCTATTTTTCTTTTACTAGAGATTATTACTATTTTTTCTCAGAAAAAAAAAGAAAAGAAAAATCTTCCAAAAACAGTTCTCTCCAAAGAATAACTATTTTAAGATTTAATTCTTTGGTTACCTTTGACCTCCAGTCCCTTTTTAAGCTATTAGGATTTACTTTGTTTTCTAAACTCCCATTTGAATTATTTTTTTCTTTTAACATAATTTCATACTATTTAACAGGTGCAATTACAAAATACTGCAGACTCAGGGGCTTAAAAAATAGAAATTTATTTTCTCACAGCTTTGGAAGCCAGAAGTTCAAGATGAAGGAGTTAGCAGGACTGGTTGTATTCCCAGCGCCTCTCTTCTTGGCTTGTACACAGACGTTTTCTCTCCATCTTCACATGGCCTCCCCTGTATGTTTGTGTTTCTGTGTCTCTGTGTGTGTGTCTCTCTCTCTGTGTCTGTGTCCTAATCTCCACTTTTTTATCAGGACATTAGTCATATTGGATTAGGGCCCACCCCTCTGACATCATTAACTATGTCTCTAAATGACCTATTTTCAGATACACTGGTAATCACTGTCTAGGGTACTATAGGTTAGAACTTCAACATAAGAATGGCAGAGGGGCACGATTCAGCCCTTTAATAACAATAAGTAATCCCAGATCTTTTTTCTCTCATAGATGTTACCTGTTCTCCATTGGAAAACTGTGACTATGTTTGGTATAGATAAGCTATACAATGATTATGTAATAAAGGACCTTTTTCTATCACAGGAACGCCTCTGGATCACTGTACCCTTGGGGAGATCCCTGTAGCCTCTGCAGTCCTTATGAATCTTTCACCTGATTCTTTAATTTCACTGGAATAGACTCTAGACTGACATGTGACTTCCAAAGAGCCTGGAACACTCATGTGCCCACTATTTATGTTCTAATACAACATAGGAGAAGTTAAAACAGGTTACAGTCAAAAGAGCCCAAAGTGCAAAAAGAAAATAGGACATCATTTCAACTCTGCCAGCAGTTAGCCAGGGACCTTAGGCAAGTCACATCCACGTCCGAGAGCTTTGGTCCCCATGTACATAGAAGAGAGTTGAGCTCGGCTGCAAACCTGTACTGCCTGTGACTACACTGAATACCGCAGGCAGATGTTTGCATATCTAAACATCGAAAAGATACAAAGACAAAAGGTGCTACACCTGAATAGGGCACTCATCACAGATGGAACTTGTAGGCCTGGAAAGTGGTCTGGACGGGCGGGTGAGTGACTGTACACTTTTATCCTAGGACAATGCAGTAGGTATGTTTATACCAGCATCACCACAAACACATGAGTAATAGTCTCACTGTGACATTACAGTGGCTACGACATTACTGGACAATGGGAATTTCTCAGCTTCCTTATAATATCATGGGATGCCATCATATATGTGATCCATTGTCGATGGAAAAACATCATAATGTAGCACATAACTATTTATACAGGGTGGCCATAAAGTTCATGTGCAACTAAAAATTAAAAGTTTTAAATTTAAGATTGCTCGTGGACTTTATGGCCACCCATATAAGCTCCCATACACACACACATACATGTTTAAGATCGTATCTATAATAAATACTTTAGTACATTAATGTAGTGAATTGTGCCTGCCTTTTATTCTGTGATGTTAATTGGTGTAAGCTATGCCTCCATCACCCATGTAATTCTTACAGGAACTTACACGTGCAAAAGATGTCCCAATATGCAGTATTGGCTTCGGTTCACTTTAATGTAGCTGCTGTTTTGAGTCAAATGCAAACTCGACTAACCATCCATTGCATGTTTCTCTTTTCAGGAACACCACATATTGCAGCAAAGTTGCATTTCCCCTGGAAGTTGTTCAAAAAGACAACTGTTTCAATTCCCCGATGAAACTCCCAGTGCACAGACTGTATATAGAGCATGGTATTCAGCACATCACTTGTCCAAATGTAGACGGATATTTTCCTTCCAATGTGAAACCCACCATCACTTGGTATATGGTAAGCAAATTGGGGGCAGTTTCTTCTCTCTAATGTTATATAGAATGATAATATTTATTTACTGAGTTGAATATTTAACCCAACTATTTCTCTAAAGATTTTCTGATTTCTTCCTTAAAAAATTTAGATAATTCTTTTGCTACTTCCTCTGATTGTACCATTGGAAAGGAAATCGTCAGTGAAATTAGCAGCGTGACTCACCTCAGCCCACCATTTCTGAAATCCCGTTAACTAGACTACCAGAACCACCTTTTTTCTGTCAACTTCCTGGGAAACATTTTGAGAAACTTTGCTCACTTCTCCTCACTGCGTGGTGGAGTCAGAAGCTGTTAGTTCATCTAGTGAATTTCAACTCTTGATTAGTCAGCACTGTATTTTATTATTTATGTGCGTTCTCCTGTTTGCCCTCATTTGTGGGCACTCACCATCTGTGTGGCCTCTCCTGCATCTAAGGGATTTGGAAAGAGTTTAATCAAAAAAATGGAAGTGTTGGAAAGAGGCAGAGCAGCAGCCTAGCTTTTGAATTGCCTCAAATCTCCAGCATAAGCCGAAGGAGGAAAAAAACCTATGGGCAGAATTCACAACCAAACTTGGTAATAAGTTACCTATAAGAACCACTTCAATAAAACCGTGAGACAAACCACCAACAGCCTTAAGACCCAGATGGAGTCAGTGTTTGCGGGGAAGGGAACAGATGGGAGTAATGTGGCCTGGCAGACTTGAGAAAAGAACCCCAAAGAGCCAACAGGTACCCAGGGGAAAGCAGGGTGAACCACTCTGAGAACAGCAGCTGAAATCGGGAGGGGTTTTGCTCTCATAAGAAGGCAGGGCAAGAAACCCCTAGTAAGAAGTTTAGAAGGGGCTGGAGCAGTTCAAGGGGCTCACAGCTCTGAAAAGGAACCTGCCATAGTGAAGAGAATCTGCTGAGAGTGGAGTAAAAAATGCACTGGATCAGAGCGAGATACAGCGAGGAAGAAGGAGAACTGTCTAGAAGGGGAGCAGGGGACAGAGTTAGCACATCAAGGCCAAGCCACCAGAGTTGTCAAGACGCCATCTCTGTAAAGTTAGAAAACCCTGCCATATTTTAAAGTTCAGGAAAAACTATTTCAAAAAGGAGTTAAACTTTTTTTTGAGACAGTCTTACTTGGTCACCTTTGGTAAAGTGCCATTGCAACAAATTCTTGGATTCAAGTGATCCTCTTGCATCAACCTCCTGAGTAACTGGGACTACAGGTGCCCACCACAATTCCTGCTATTTTTAGAAATGGGATCTCGCTCTTGTTTAGGCTGGTCTCCTACTCCTGAGCTCAGGCTATCCACCTGCCTCTGCCTCCCAGAGTACTAGGATATTTAAACGTGAGACAAGTTGTAAAAAAAAAATAACATAAATAAGAACTAGAAAAGTTCAAAAATTATATACATTATAGAACTCGGTAAAAACTTAGAAGAAAATAGTTTCAGAAAAGACTCTAAACGAAGAGGAAGGACAACCATACTAGGTTTTTAAAATCAAAATTAAATGATGAGTCAAAGAAGAAACTTTGTGTGGCTATATGAATATCAGGAAAAGTAGATTTTAAGACAGTGAGGATTACCAGAAGTAAAGAGTACATTTCATAATAAAAGAAACACTTCATTGGGAAAACATACAAATAAGAAAAGTACATATACCTAATAACAGTGATTCCAAATACATGAAGCGAAAGTTGGCAGAATTCAAGGGAGAAATAGACAATTCCACGGTCACGGTTGAAAATTTTAGGTTCCAGCTGTGTTTAAGATGTTAATGAAACAACTTAGGGGCCAAGATGAAGAGTGTTCTATTGGCTAGTGGTGAACAATTGGAACCTGAATAGAAATAGTATATTATAATTGAAATAATTTTAAACCTGTGAAGTAAGTTTAAATTCTTATGTTCATAATGATATTTCAAAAAATTTAATTAGTTACATGTGGGTGGTGATAGGAAATCAATTCATTATCTTAAAAATTGGCCAAGGGGAATAATCAAGCATTCATTCTGGAATTTGTAGAAGAAATGTAATGTTGGGTAATAAAGTGGTGCACAGAAGTGTGTTTCTATCAAACCCTTCCTAATGATAACTGAAAGATAAATGACCCAATTAAAATATCATCACACTGCAACCTTGCATGGATTAATAAGTCCAAGTAGTAAAGCATCAGAGGCTGCTAACATCTCATGACGAGAAACCCCCAACGTGTTTCTTCTGATGAAAGAACACAGTATTACCTATAATATTGCCAAATGGATTAAATCTGAGTCAGAGTGAGCCTTTGGCTACCAAGGCCATTTTGCATGAGATATAGAGATTTTAGGAATATTATTGAACTTCACCATCAATTTGCAATCAGCAAATCCAGATTTCACGAAACTCCTCTATATGCCAGACGTGCAGGGTTCTTTAACAGATAAATGATAAGAAACGGCAAAGGAAATACTCCATGGAGTGGGAATTGTAAATTAAAAGAAACATAAAAGACATTTAAAATGTAGAAGCCTGAACATGCATACATGGGTTGTAAAATTATACATGAAAAAATAAGTGGTTTTTCTACATAAGTATAGACAATGACTGCTTTGGGGGGGGATTAAAATAGGTGTGATTGACCTGGGGCTTGCAGAAGGCCTCTCAAGGATGGCTGGGAAAGATTCCAGACCTGAGTGATAATTCCAAAGCTGTTTGCTTTGTAATAACTCAAAAACTCATACGTATGTTTTGAGGGTTTTTTAACAATAAAATGACTAAACAAGAGGGAGAAAGAGAGAAAAGGGGGGAGAAAGAGAAAAAGGGAGATAATTTAAGAAATTTAACAACCAATTGGATTTTAGTCAGATCCTGTTTCATGCAGAGAGCTATAAAACAATTTAAGGGCTGAGCACAGTGGCTCACACCTGTAATCCTGGCATTCAAGGAGGCCCACAGGGAAGATCACTTGAAGTCAGGAGTTGGAACAAAAGCAAGACCCAGTCTCTACTAAAAATAGAATAAATTAGCAGCAGATAGTATTCTATGCCTCAAGTCCCAGCTACTCAGGAGGCTGAGGTAGGAGGATCTCTTGAGCTCAGGAGTTGGAGGTTGCAGGGGGCTATGGGGATGCTGGTGCACTCTAGCCAAGGTGACAGGGTGAGCTCCATATAAGTTCCAAAGGAGCTCACAATTTAATACAGATAAGTTCAGAAATAAGAATTGTTATTCTTATGAAATCATAGAATTCTAGGTTCCACAAGTGTGGCAAAGAGAGATTCCTGTTGGCTTTTAGAAGAGGAAGAGATTCGCATACGTGTACTATATGAAACTGCCTGTTTCTTGAGAGGGAAGTTCTGTTATATCCACCTCTGTATCTCCAGTGATTCCTAGATCTCTGTTTTGTCTAGCAGGTGAAGGATGGTGCATTTCACCAAAGTGTGAAATAGCAAAGGAGGAGCAGAATTGGGGAGTAAATAGTAGATTTAGGTGGTGTCATGTGAAGTCAGAGATGGCTGTGAGGCATGTGGATGGCAAGTGGCAGGACAGTGACTAGCAGGCAGCAGTTGCCTGTTTGTGGGTCTAGAGCAGCAGTTCTCAACCTGTGGGTGGCGAGCCCTTTTTAACAATGAAAATACATTGTGGCCTTAGGAAGGTTGAGAACCACTGGTCTAGAGCTTGCAGAAAAAAAGAAAGAAAAAGAAAGAAAGAAAAACAAAGCTGGAGACAGAATTGGATTCATCTGTGTGATTGTGGAAGCTCTTAAGAAGACTAAGTGAGAAAAGGAGTGAGGTTAACTGTGGGGAGTCTGTTCATGGGGTAGATGGAGGCATAGAGCCGTGAAGGAGACTGAGAGAAAGCCGTAGCTATAAAACCATTCCCATTGCTGAGATCCAACCATGTGCAGGTGGCTAAAAAGGGCATCCTTTGGCCAGGCACGGTGGCTCACGCCTGTAATTTTAGCATTCTGGGAGGCCGAGGCAGGTGGATTGTTTGAGCTCACGATTCTGAGACCAGCTTGAGCAAAAGCAATACCCCGTCTCTACTAAAAATAGAAAAACTGAGGCAAGAGAATCGCTTGATCCCAAGAGTTGGACATTGCTGTGAGCTATGAGGCCACGGCACTATACCCAGGCCAACAGCTTGAGACTCTGTCTCAAAAAAAAAAAAAAAAAAGCATCCTTTTTCTTCCCTGGTCATGGGAAGGTGGCCACCGATGCCTGGTATTCGGCTACTGCTTCCTATTTCTCCACCTGTGGTTGGGTCGGCATCTGACATTTCTGGTCATAAGAGCTTTTCCTCCCAGGTCTGAGCAGCAGGGCAGCACCTTCTGTTTCTGCCTCCTAAGTCACCCCCAGCATTACCCAGCCTCCTCGGCCCCTCCAGAGCAGTTCTCGTGCAGTTGTTAGCAGCTGAGCTCCGTACCTTGACGTTGGAAAACCAGTCTCTTGTAGTCGATACCAATAAGTCTATAAGGGTTAAAAGATAAATACATAAAAATCCTACTATCTGAAAGATAAAAGCTGCTGAGTTGAAAAAGGAGGAGGAAACGAACACTTGTTACATTGTGCTGGTCCCAGGGCAGCTGCTTGGCACTGTGTGTGTTACCATGTGTGACATTTGTCACAACTACGCAGGAAGATACTGACTTTTAACGGAGGAGGACATAGAGACTTCCAGAGGGAAACAGTAACACTTAACCTTTCTCAAACACAGGTTTGTTCCAAACGCTTTATTTCACTCAATTCTTTCACCGCCCTTGTGAAGTGGGCTCTTTCATTTCCTTCATTTTGTAGTTTCGGTAGAGAGTGGTGGAGAGATATTCCCGAGGCCACAGGTCTAGAAGCTAAGAGCAACCCGGGCCGTCTGTGTCATAACTCCCACTTTTGTGTTGGTTTATATCATTTACACGGATCCAGGTGCGAATGGGAGAGTCCAGAACTTCAGGCCAGTTCCTTTCGGTTCTAAAGCCTGTATTCTTCAGATCTGAGGTGGCTCAGAGGGTGGGGTCCA